TGTCATGTTGTTAATATTAACAGAAGGTAAAGGTTGTCTGTTGGATGTTACTGAACAATATTAACAGAAGGTAAGGTTTGTTGGATTTACTCTGTAATTTCGAAATCTTGTCATCAGATGACCTAACGAAAACTGCCATATGGAAATTTTGTAAGGCAATTATTAGCAGTTCAGCTAATGTTTCAGCAACCTTCTGGTGCTAACTGCAGTTTTCCTGTAGCCATTCTGAAGGATTCGTGATTGTGTGGTTTTTCATTATTGAATGATATTCTCCCCAGATATCAAGATATTGCAATGAAAATATTACAAAAGGAATCAAACAGTTTCTCTGTTATCTAATCAACTCCTTAATCACGATTAGAGTTCTTTTTCGTCAAGGACACTTTCAGTAAGGGAATATGAAATGTGTAATAACAGAAACGATAATCAGGGTTTTAGAATATTTAATGTTTGAAAGTGAAGGCATCACCTTATATTTAGTCCCGATACATTTCAAGGTCCAGAGAAAACATGAGAAAGATTCAATAATTACCAGTTTATTCAACGTACTTTATCAGATAAGACTTATTGTCTGTATCTGAAAATTTCAGAACGAAATTTCTTAGTCTGAAATGCCTTTGGTGCTATGCTTCCAAACAGCTTTTACATTACCTCCCTGTTTAACAACATTGAAATGCCTTTGGTGCCATGCTTCAAAACTTAGCTTTTACATTACCTCCCTGTTTAACAACATTGAAATGCCTTTGGTGCCATGCTTTCAAACAGCTTTTACATTACCTCCCTGTTTAACAACATTGAAATGCCTTTGTTAACATGTTTCCAAACAGCTTTTACATTACCTTCCTGCTTAACAACATTAGAAATGCCTTTGTTAACATGCTTCCAAACTTAGCTTTTACATTACCTCCCTGCTTAACAACATTGAAATGCCTTTGTTAACATGCTTCCAAACTTAGCTTTTACATTACCTCCCTGCTTATTAACATCGATCCTCAATTGTAAAAGTTATTGAAACTTTATTTTGAACGAAGAGGTTATTAATGTACGTCACAACATCGCACCCCTCTCACTAATTTCTTATTTACCTGCTATGAAAGTGCTAATGATTTTGCCTTTATTGAAAACTGGTTTTGTTTGTTTGGTTTTTGGTAGATTTTCTTAGAGCACAGCTACACAATGGGATATCTGTGGTCTATCTACCGACGGAATCTAATCTCAGATTTTAGCGTTGTAAGTCCGTAAAATTACCATAGGCCTATCGTGGGAGTAATTTATTGTTTTGATATGCGTTCCCCCTCTTAAAGCACGAAGGGAGGAAATCCAACTCCTGAACCGAAACCGAAACCTAGTTGCAATAATACGTGAAAGTTTTTAATAATAGGTTAATTAATAAAATAAATATATAATTTTTGTTTTAAAAGTAATATTGGATATACCGTCCCAATTTTCATCAGTCTTATGGAATAATTGTTACTTATTTTGGGTCTTCACAAACTAACTAACAAACTTAATTTTTTTTAAATTCTGTACTGAAAAGAGGGCTCATGATCATTAACCCACCTTCCCCCCATTATCTTGCCTTGCATTGTATCCGTTTCTCAAATAGAAAAAAAAGTAAATTGACTGGAAGAGAAAGTTCGAGAATATATACAAGATAGAACAATAGTCGCGCAACGCCGCGATCTTTCTGACTCAGCTTTCCAAAAACCTTCCTTGATATCACGACATCTTTCACTTTTTGTAGCATTTTGTGGTGTGACGGTTTCGTTGTGATTCTCTGCTTCAGATTCTTTAGGTTATTTTGACGGGTGGAATAACACTAAGAGTTTTATTTATTCCCCAAATAAAAACTGTTATGGGGTAAGAGCGTGCAGACCCCGCCATTGGCCCACGACACCTGTTCGTCTGTCACGAAAAAGTGCAGTTGGCATATCATCCTGTTGAAAGTGCATGTCCTCTGATATGTTATGGAAATCCATGACCACCAGGAACGTATTCATCAACGTTGAAGAGAATTCAGTCAATGTCCTGTTGATGAGCAATGTACCCACAACATGACATCCTATTCTTTAGTGTACCCACAACATGACATCCTATACATTAGTGTACCCACAACATGACATCCTATACATCAGTGTACCCTTTGTCTGTTGGATGTTACTGAACAATATTAACAGAAGGTAAAGAAAGTAAAGTTTGTCTGTTGGATGTTACTGAACCTGTTAATATT